ATAGATCCATATATAGATTGAAACAAAGCATCCCGTCAGTGGTATCTAAAATTTCATGATGTTATCTCATCATTTAGTTTCGAAAAGAATATCATGGATCAATGTATATACCAGAAGGTTAGTGGGAGCAAAATTTGTTTCCTTATCTTATATATGGATAATATGTTACTTGCAACCAGTGATAGAGGTTTGATGCATGATGTGAAACAATTTCTCTCTAAGAATTTTGAAATAGGCAATACATCTTATGTCATTAGCATTAAGATCCATCAAGATAGATCCCATGGTGTTTTAGGTCTATCTCAAGAAACCTGTATTAATTAAGTTTAGAGAGATTTCAGATGAAAGAGTGCTCACCGAGTGCAGCTCCCGTTTTGAAGGGTGACATGTTCAATTTAAACCAGTGCCCAAAAAAATGACTTTGAAAGGGAACAAATAAAAAACATTCCATATGCTTCCGCAGTTGGAAGTCTGATGTATGCTCAGGTCTGTACAAGACCTGACATTGTATTTGTTGTGGTAATTTTAGGTAGATATCAGAGTGACCCATGATTGTACCACTGGAGAGCTGCAAAGAAAGTGATGAGGTACTCTTCAAGGGACCAAAGATTACATGCTTATGTATAGACGAACCGACAATCTGGAGGTGATAGGGTACTCAGTTCAGACTATACTGGGTGCGTTGATTCACGGAAATCAACATCAGGTTATGTCTTCATGTTTGCCGGTGGAGCTATATCTCAAAGTGTGTAGCAGTCATTGATTGCTACTTCCACTATGGAGGCTGATTTTGTTTCTTGTTTGAGGCTACATCACATGATGTATGGCTAAAAAGTTTCATATCTGCACTTAGACTTGTAGATTCCATTTCTAGGCCATTAAGGATCTATTGTGACAACTCAGCTGTTATTTTTATGACAAAAACAACAATAGTCGAAGCAAACCATTGACGTTAAGTATTTAGCCATAAGGGAACGTCTTAAAGAAAAGGAAGTGGTCATTGAGCATGTTAGCATTGAATTGATGATAGCTGATCCTTTGACAAAATGCATGCCACCAATGGAGTTCAAGGATATTGCTGTTAGAATGCGATTAGGTTCCATAATGTGATTTTCATTGTATGGACATTGTTGTTTTAGTGAAACTCCTCTTTACGATATTTTCTCATATTATGGTGCACATTAATAAATTTGAGAAAAATCAATTATTATTGGACCTGGAATAAATGTAGCGTTTATTCATTAAGTAATATTCACATTTGGATTGATCTAAGAAATATAATACATAGTAATACATAGAAGATAATACTCAGTTATTAGAGGACTTATCGCCAAAATTCATGTATCGGATTTCTTAGATGGGATTTTGATTTGACACCATATTGAACGTATGGGCCAAGTGGGAGAATGTAAGTTTATAACCTAGAATCTTGGAGTGGTGTTAACCACCCATGAAATGGTCCAACGTTCTCTAGTTTTGCTGTTACTGTCCATTTTTGTGGGTCGTTAAGCTGATCCTATTTTTCTGGTAACTGCCCCTAAGTGTGCAAAGTGCTTGATGGGAGCACATCGATATATATAATTGAAAATGGTTTTGGGCCCCTAAGCTCTCTCTCTCTCTCTCTCTCTCTCTCTCTCTCTCTCTCTTCTCTCTCTCTCTCTCTCTCTCTCTCTCTCTCTCTCTCTCTCTCTCTCTCTCTCTCTCTCTCTCTCGATATTTTCTATACACCATCAAACGAATGACTGACAGCTTAGAAGAACTCCAAAACGCAGAGCGATAGGTGTCTCCAAGCAAAAGCGTCAATGGCTGGAAGTATGCTGATCTCTTACGCATTTGATTTATTCATATTTATAGCATATATTGTGTGTAAATATGCTTACATTGAGCTCTTGAGTGATTGGTGCTCTTGGGTTCTTTGAGTGATGTGGTGTGTGCTTCTTGGAGCTCTTGAGTGATCAGTGTTCTCGAGTTCAATGAAAGATGTGAGATGTGCGAGGGTTTTCCAGTTTGTCTGTGTAAAACTTGTATCACTTGTATCAATTGTATTGGTTGTATGAGTTTGTGAGGATATTGGATGAGAGACCATGAATGTAGGCATGTTGGGCCAAACCACGTAAAAAACTCTTTCTTGTGTCTTGATACTTACGCTCTCTACTTGTGTGGTATTTGTTTGTGTGCTCCGTTAATCCCCAAAAGTGATATCAGAGCTAAGTTGGTCGGAGTGTGTGAAGGTTGGGACACACTGCAAGGAGGAGCTTGTCAAGCATAGCCGATTGATAGTTTGCAAATCTGTTGCCCAAAGTCAAAGATCGACGATATCGTTGGATGGAGTGGTTTGTAGTCTTGAGTGTGGTGGCCTCAATGGAGATGGCTACCAATGAATGGAAGATCCAAGACGTCCAATGCATATGAGGCTTAAAACAGTGAACGGAGCTATGAGGGGCGATGCGGTGATGGTTCGCATTGAGGGAGCATGCGCAACCATTGGAAGGTGTGACGGAGGTTGATAGGTTACGGATGGTGGTGATGAACCTTAAAAAACAGAGGTAGCGATTGGTAACACAGAATAATCGGACGGGCAATAGCGATTGGTAATGGAGGGCAATAGCGAGGGTGGTTCACCTACACCAGTGGAGGAGCGGCGATTGACTAAGGCACAATGGCCAATGGGGGTGCGTGTTCAATATTGATGGTAGTTGATCACATTAAAGTGTTGGAGATATGGATCAAAGAAGTTTGAAAGGCTAGTCAACATTGGAGAATGAAAAGGTGAAAGTTTGAAGGGGTATAATGCATAGGAAGACGAAATATTGCATTAATGGTTAGTTCCTTGAACTTCTAATCAGAGGCTATAAAAGGATGGGTGTATGTTGTGAGAAAGTTATCCTCCAGGTGAGAGAGGGAGGCTCCCCTTTAGAAACTCTTAAGTGATCGGTGTTCTCGGGTTCTTCGCGTGATGTGATGCGTGATGGACTCTTGGAGCTCTTGAGTGATTGGTGTTCTCGGGTCCATGAGATATGTGAGATGTGCTAGAGTTTTTAAGTTTGTCCGTGCAAAACTTGTATCTTTTGTATTGATTGTATTGGTTTGTGAAGATAAATGATGAGAGACTGTGGATGTATGCATCACTGTTTAAAAAACCTCCTCCTAGTCCGCTTAGACGTATGCCTAGGTCTAGACGGTACCTAGACTGCCTAACTAACGCCTAACGCCTAGACGGTATTTAGGCTGCCCATCTAGATTTTACGATTGTTTAAGCGAGTATTGTCTGTTTACGTGAATTGCACCCTGTAGGTCTTGGTTATAATTTTATGTGTTGTATCCTACACGTCCTCCGAACTCCATTAACCTCCAAATATGAACACCTCCACTACACCTTCAGCAAAACCTCATCGACCACTACTTAAATGAAGAAAGAAATCCGCCTAGACACCATTCTGGCATCTAAGCTTTCCATAACATTGACATTCACTATCAATTATTATAATTAAAAATAAAAAAACATCTTAGGCTCTAGCATTAATAATTATTATTTTGACTATTTAGTATCTTAGTATGCATGATTTATTGTGGAACTAAGATTGCTATCTTTTTTTAAAAATTTATATGAATTTCATACATATTTTTATCAATTATTATAATTAAATAATTTAAAAATAGTCAAACGCCTGGGCGTATGCCCATGGGTCTAGACACTAGGTGCTCGCTCAAACGTCTAATCTGCCTAGCACTTTTTGTAACATTGCCGAGCTCCACCGATCTCTGTAACTACTACCAAGGTAAAAAATTCTTCTTAAATATCTATTTAAGTTAGTTAACAACATTAACTTAAACTTAAGAAGTGTAAGTTAACAGTAAACTTAAGTTTAAGTTTAAGTTAAACTTAAGTTTAAGCTAACACTAAACTTAAGTTTAAGTTTAAGTTAATATTAAGTTTTTTGTTGATGGTAAACTTAAGTTTAAGTTTATAGTAAACTTAAGTTAACAATATTTAGTTAACAGTAAACTTAAGTGTAAGTTTATTGTTAACTTAAACTTAACAGTAACTTATAAGTTAACAGTAATTTGAGTTGAGAATGAGTTTTTCATTGTTGAGATGAACTTATAATTTGAGTTGAGAAGTATAAACATACAAAGAGCTATTATAATTGGTAAACCAAGTAATTTAGTTAATAGTGTTGGTATTTTGGTATTTATGCATATTTGATTGAGTATATATATATATATTTATCTTCAAGTATCACAATTAAAAAAATAAAAAAGAAAAAAGTACCAGAAACCGCTTAGGCGTCCGCCTAGGCGACTAAGCGCTGGGCGCCAAGTCCTACGCCTAGAAGCGCCCAACGTTTAATATAACATTGGTAGGCATGTTTGGTCGATCCACATAAAAAACTTTGTGTTGTCTTGGTGCTTGTGCTCTTTACTTGTGTGGTATTTGTTTGTGTGCTCCATTAATTCCAACAAAAATCATGATTTTACGAACTATATTTGTTCAATTCATGATTTATTCAATAGAAATTTAGCTATATAAATATGAACTCAGGGGAAAAAAATAGTCATCCTCTCCAAATGAGTGGTTTGCCCACCAATACTGCGAGTTACTTTAATATTAATGTATTAACAGGATTGTCCTGCAAATATGTGTCGAATGTGATTGGACAAGTATAAGTAATCAGATAACTTTAAGTTCAGCAAAATCATTTTGAAATTTTATGTTTGAAACCACAACATAAAACCCTGATCTCTACTTCAATATAAATAGTCGAAATTGATTGCTGTTGAATATCAAGAATGCATAATAGGTATGTAAATGACCTTCCAAACAAATATCAGAGTTTTACCATACCAAAAATCTTGCATGCATGTGAACAAATTAATATTTACGTGAATAATATTTTAGCTTTCATTCTTGGAACTGTCTGATTTAAATTTCCTACTAATCACCACAACTCTATGAATTTTTAGCATGGTGTGTACGAAACATTTAAAATAGGACTTACTCGCGATGAGATGAGAGTAGACCAATGTCGGGGACTAGAAAGCTGGGCAAGTGAAGCAACCACTTAAAGAACTTGTCTGTCCAGTTCTACGGAAATATAAACTCCTTCTGGGAGTAGTCTTTGCAACCTGCTGAGACTGGACAGTAGCTACTGCACTCCTCATCTCTTGTGCTTTTCTCTGAGCAGACTTAAGCTTACTCAAAATTTTGTCCATTGATGATGACCTTTTCTTTTCTAGCTTCATCTAAAACAGGATAATAAAAAGTTCGAAGCTTTAGATTAATGATGATTTATGATAATGAAAGTGCATCCCCAGATTAATATAAAATGTTCCAGTCGCATTAAGCACCTCCAGTTTCCTAATAGCTGCCTCTGCTTTTGCTTTCTGCAAATTCTCCCATGCTGTTATTTTGGCTTCCTCTCTCTTGTACCTTAGAGGAACACGTAAGAGAGGCAGCTCATGATTTTATAAACATAACTGAGGGTTAATTGCAGGCTAATACCCTAAAGCTTCACCAATATTTAAGTTTATACCCTGAAGTTTAAGGCCAAATAATATCCCAAAATTTCACCCACTTTTAACTTTTCATACCCTCCATCACATCATGATTAAATTTGCCCAAAACATCTTTTCTTTATCAATTCTTCATTTCAATTTAGGGTGTTGCTATATAATACCAAAATTCAGAGTTCTGTGTTTGCGAAAGTGAAGAAGTGGTTGTTGTTTTTAATTTCAATGGGTTTTGGGCTAAATAGCACAAGGAAGGAGGAGCAAAGGGATTCAGGGGATTTCTTTTTAGTTTTGGGTATAAAGGTCAAATACTATCACTTGATATTATCACGCAATTCCTCTTAAACAAATTATGAATGGTGCTGTAATGGAAGGAACTAAAGTTACAGTAGGTGGAACTTTGGCGTATTATTTGGGCAAAGTTGAACTAAAGGTTGCCGAGGTTAAAAATTGGTGAAAGTTCAGGGTACTAAGTACAATTAACCCAAAAACCAAATGGTCAACTATCCATGATATTTCTTACTTGGAAATGCACTTTGTTGTCTCTGCCACTTCTGAAACAGATGAAGGATCAGCCTTGGCCTCTACAGTTTTCTTTTTCCATTCTATAATATTCATTGAACGCCTATCAGAGCCTCGAGCGACTTGCTTTTTAGACCATCTTGTAACAGTAACCCGATCATCAACTTGCACATCTCTGACTTCTAACTTTGAGAAATGGCTCTCAAGTTTTTCAATTGGATGGGCTAATGGTGATTGAGAGAATGGATGTCTCTCTTTAGGAGAAGACTGAGTGCTTTCATCAGGGCTCATCTGTGTAGCCACATCCTTCCTTAAAATTGCAGAAGACAACCTGCTGTTTCCTCTGTTGCTATCGACTTTTTCATCTGATCAGCACTCAAGATACAGCAAAGCAAGGTGAGAAAAGAAATTGGGCAAGCATTAGATCTTAGAAACAAAGTGCTTCGAAAGAGGGTAATATAAACTCTTTGAAAATAAAAAAGAAGTTTTGGAAAATTCAGCATACTGAATGTTAGATAGCCTTCCCTATTTTAGCAAACTGCGATTTTTTCCCCTAGATATATGAAATAAATCAGAAGAAACAGTTTATAGATATCATAGAGCAATATATACAATCGTAACATTTTCTTAGCTCGTTTTTCCCAGTAGTAAATGCTCTAACTATTCTTAGAAACAAAAAATGAAGACATTCCTTTCTCTGCATTTGCATAAAAGAGAAAAATAGAACTATTTTCTGTCACGGGACGTAACTAAGGTAGGGAACAATCATCTGATCATTCTTCACAAGGTCCTATTGATCTAGATAATTGAAAAGGAACTAAAAATTTGTCCGGAATTGTTCTAGCTTGGAGTGAGCAGCGACTACATAATGCAAACTGGAGAGGAAAAAGAAATATGCTCACCAGTACGGAGGCCACAATAAGAACTTAGTAACAGTTTTCATATAGGTGATCTCATATATACAGTTCAAGTGATGAAAGTTGAACAATACTTAGATGCCCTTTTCATCAATCTGTATACACTTGTACTTATATTAAGAATATTATTTCTTGCATCTTTTAACAGATGAAATGTTCTTTGAATGGTTATTAGCCACAACTGTGGTCTAAAGACGATAAGCCAAGTGATCCGCATATTTTTGTTGCATGGAAAACCAAAGTCCCGTCAATTCTTTGCTTTGGCATGGAAGTTTTTGAATCAAGGTGTCCTCATGCCACTAAATTAAGTTCCCTAGAGACTTGAAATACACCTGGGAAAGAAGGATCACTTGTAGCATCATCTATGAGCAAATTAACAGTACTTTATTACCATCTAACCCACAACCATACTTTGCAACAATATAATGCCTTGAAAAAGTTTTGATGTGCACTTTTGATACACAGATTTAGTTATGTATAGGAGGTAGATTCTTTCTTACTACACTTCTCACAATGAACTGCACATATTCAGCAACATACAAGAAAGAGAGCAAGGAAATACTCAGACAAGAGAGGGGAAATGAGAAGTCCTAAGGTGTACTCACTATTTCGTGAATCGTGATGGATAGCCACATAGGCAGAGCAGATTCAGACACAAGAAATATAAGGTGATGAAATCGCAACATTGTAAATTTTGAAGACTTCCAAGGAGATAACACCAGAATGGAGATGATCCGCTGATTAGGTTTATATATATATTTAGATGGATGCAATTTCTTGAACTCGAGCCCGTAGAATAAAAGCAAAATTTTAAGGAATCATACGTTATTAGGGACCTTCAAATCTTTAGGAACCGATCAACCATAACATAAAGATGTTTCTTCGATAACTGCTTGAATTATTCTAGAAATCTCATATGGTCTGTAAGAAATGCTTGGATAGCGGGAAATGCTTAAGTGCAAGTCCTGCATAGCGGCTAGTAACTCCTAACTGGGGATTCTGATATGTTGAAAATCATGGGGGTAATCTGTTAATTGTCCAAAGTTAAGGGGGTTTCTGCTATTTAGCATATAGAAAAATGGAAACACAGTAAAATAATATCAGCATTAATGCTCAAGTGCTTTCAACTAAACTATGAATAAGCCGTGGGTTCCCCTTTTTAGTTGGTTCCCATGGGAGGCAGTTGATTAATAAACAGTACTGGAGAAATCAGCCTATGACCTATGATAATATCATATCATATAGCTGTGGCATCTAGTAAACATATCTTCCAAAATGGACAAAAATATCAGTAAGACTAGAACCAGAAAACTGAAACAAGTCCGCATAAGTTACCTAGTTAAGTTGTGCAATATTGTCACCACATAAATCAGAAGGGTTAAGATGGGTTCATGGAGAAATAATAACTTGAGCTACCCCAAAGAGAATTTGCTTGGAAACAACTAAAATGGATTCGGTACCTTTTTACTAAATGGAAGAGAAAGCCGTGAAGAGATATGAAAGGAAGAATATGATTTAGTTCCCCAAAAAACTCCCTCCCCATCCCTTCTCTTGAAAACACTAAGATAAATGCTTTGATGTTGTTATTGTTTTGTCGAAGGATTAAGCTAGCTACAGTACTACACAAACAACACACCAAGAACAAATCCATAGCTTAAGGTAATCAACTATCAAATGGAATTCCCACACATGCACAACATAACCAAACTCTGGCAAATTCATCTCATCCACACTAACCCTAATTCAAATCTCAAAATATATAGAGAAAAGAAAAGAAATCACAAACCTTGCACAGTCCCCTGTGAGCTTGGCAGAGACGAGCAAGACTCAACCATTGTATCCGACCACCCATGCATACTCGCCGATCTCAGTATCAAGGCTTCCGCATTTTCGCCAGACGAAGGAAACTCCCACCATAACACCTCCTTACCCCCACCCCACCCACCACCACCAAAACCCCCTTATCCCCTACAGAGACCTCACCCAGGAAGGGACCCAGCCACCAATGCCCCCACACAGCTCTCCCATTATTCAAAGAGTGATTGCTGGCCGCAGACGACGTCAGAGTTAAGCCGGAGGCCGAGGGCCCGCTCTTCGACTTGGCCGGCGGTGATGCGGCGGAGGGACCGAGCTCCGGCCAGCATTCTCACTTCCGACCGGGCTAAATATCCATTTCTCAGCATCCTCCCATTTCGAGGGAATGGGTCTCCCATTATTGAAGGGCATGTACCTCCTGCTCGAGATTGAAGGCGGTGGGACCCGCTCCGAGCTCCATCCCTTCGGGTATCGGTAATTGGGGGTCCCAGGGCTCTTCATGGTGCTCAAGCTGCTCATAAGGAACCGAGGGGAGATGATGGAGACATCGGCATTATGTCCATTGAAATCGAGGGAGGTTGGTCGGTGGTCTCGGGGTTTTCGCTTGGGGAACGAGTGGGACTCAGATCTAAACCTCCTGTTCTTGCACTCTTGACACAAAAAAGATCCAATTTTGGATTCAAATTCCAACAACGCAGCGAAATTTAGTACAAATTGTTTACCTATTACGGCATGAGAAAAGGAATGCTTTGATGGGTCAAGAGTTTCTTCCTCTCCCTCCTCCTCTTGCTCAAATTCTGTGACGTTATTGATGGGTTTTTAGCCGGCTAGCTAGGATTCAAACAAAACTAACAACTGGAAAGGGAAAGCGAAAGACAAAAGTAAAGAAGCGGCCACTGCTGACCTTTAGCTTTATAGGATGCTGTTGATGATGACGGTGGATTGTTGCTATCCTCGTGAAGACAAGTTGCTCTCTGTGGATCTGGATCTGGGCTTGCAGCCAAATTCTGAACCAGGAGACAAAAATCCAAGAAACACAAAAATGTGAGAGAAAATGAAGAGAGAGAGAGAGAGGGTTTGTTCCCGTTCAAATCCCACTTAATCATTACTAAATGCCAACGAAATTCTCTGTCTGCTGACCGCTGATATCTCTCAATCTTTTTTTTCGTTAAAAAGTTGGTACTTAATGTGTGTGGTGTGAAAAGCATCAGACTAGTCAAAGGGAATCCGATGCAAAGTAAAAAATAAATAATGAGTGAATAGAAAGAAGACCAAGATGGAGAAGAGCGCATCGCCGTCGGAGACGGAGGAGCAGCGGTCGAGAGCGGCGGTGTGATTTCTGAAGAAGATGAACGATGGGTCTGGGCTGCTATTGGATTGGGTTCTTCTGATGACGGTGGATCTTGAAGAATGTTGCCGATTGAAGCCCGGCATTGTTTGGTTTGTTTGCTACTGGGTCTGAGGAGTGTGGGGTTTGCGGGGGGAGAGAGAGAGAGAGAGAGAGAGAGAGAGCGTGTGTAGGGGTATCGCTTGGCTGGGGAGTTGGTGGTGATGAGTTATGGGTTAATTATTACTCGTCTTGCTCTGCATTGTAGCTGCATTGGGATTTGGGATACTTGCATGATTCATTTCTTGTCTTGGGATATCTCAAAATTTTGCATTAGAAAATAAGATATATGTCACCGTGGATGTATCTGCGTACCTACCCGTTAAGACACGAATAGATACATTTGAATATCTATCAATCATACAGCTGCGGTTGCTTTGGCCATTCAATTAATGGATTTTAGATTAAATTTGATGATCCAAGGATCTAATCTTAGATTTTTGATATGTGAAACATACCAGTGGACTCACATGTATCATATTAACTATGTATTTTGCAATCTTAGAATGTTTTCCTCGTATCCATTTTGTATCTGTATGTATTTTCTCTTATTTTATTTGTATCCGTAATCGATTTGGCTGATGTGGACATAAGTTTTCTTAACCAATACATATACATATCATATTCGTAGCCGTGATTGGCAACCAAATACGAACAGGATAAATATCATATCGTACATTTGCAATCCATCTGTACCCCCTAGAATTAACACATTTTTTTTAGCATATCAAAGCTGCTTGCCTCAATGAGAACCCGTTTGTCTAGACCAATAGACACCCTATCACCCGTCAAGATAAACTCCTAATCCACGTAATATCCTGGTACAAAATACTTTTGGCCGAGTGCTCAGTACTTGCCCTAGATCCCCACCATCAAAGGTCCCCCTAAAGAGACAAGTGTCACTCCATGTTCCATTCCACAGCACCTACCCAAAGACTCGCAACATTAAATATCATTATTCTTTTGAGAAGAGAGAAATCGGCTCCTCAGCAAGAGAGATTTTTACTTCAAAAATGCAAGAAAGAAGAGGATTCTCAAATCGAGATCCTTGCTAAACACAAATTTCATCCTTCAGAGGAAAAACTATCATCTTATTCTTACTCTAACTCCTCATTCTCTAGAAGGACGATCCAACACCTTACGGCAAATGATCCCCGATCTAGCAAAGAAAAAAGAAAAGGAACTTCTTAGCCCCTGGCTCTAACATCCCTTTGTTATAAAGTTTAAATAGCTTATTGTTAGAACTCATGTTTATGAGCCTACTATCTAATCTAGTTTTAATATTAACAAACAATTTATAACCATGTATTTTTTTCCAGTATTTGTGTTTTGTTTAACATGTATCCAGGTTGAAAGGATTTGCGCCGTAACGACGATATCTGAAATGAAGCCAATTCAATTCAAGTCAATGATTCAAGAATAAGCTTCACACACAATCAACTTGGGTATACTAGTTTAGGAGTTATATTTTGTGTGATAATAATTTAAGCTCAATTTTATACACACACACATTTCTCATTTTTATCATAATATGTGTATTTTTTGAGAAAACTTTGTGTTCTTGATTTATGGACTAAATAACTCTAGTTTACATCTTTTCCTAAGACTATAAATTCATTCAAAAGATTCCAAAACTTGGTTTAAGTCATTTTATCAAAATCAAGCGTTTAAACAAACACGTATTTTTGAGATTTTATAAAATGATGAGCTTTCACAAACAGGCCGAAATGATATTTCAAAATTTTATTTTGTAACATGTTTATTTTCATATCTATAAACATTTCCCCAAGTTTTATAATTTTTAGAATTTATTTGCTATTTTAAACACACTTCAAAACTCATTTTTACTGTGCAAATAAGTCCATGTGCACATTTTCAGTTGACTGACAAGGATCATCAGTCGACTGAAGAAATCGTTCTGAATTAGTATTTGTTTCTACTCAGTTGACTGATGGTGCATCAGTCGACCGAAGCAGCTCATCAGTCGACTATGGTGCATCAGTCGACCGACGAGCTTTGAGCGGCTACCAACGATCAGCTCATTAGTCGACCGATGAACCCATCAGTCAACTGACGGTTACTGTAACGGCTAGTTTCTAGTTTCCTAATTTTTAGGGATTTTGTTGTTTTTGTTGGATTTTTCTGGGTTTTTGTGGTTTGTTCTTGGAACATATATATACTCCTTAGCCTCAGCATTCTGATTGATCAAAAAAAAGTTTAAAACAAGTTTTTATAAGTTTGTTTAAAGGTTTTTTAGTATATTATTTATGTGAAGAGAGTTTCACAAGAAGACGAGATAATTTCGGTTTAAGCTTCAATTTTATATCTCCATCTCTCTTATTTTCAGAGAAAATTTTCTAAACTCAATCTCTAGCAATTATATTATGTTCATCATTTTTATAAGCTAGATTTTTAATTGAGTTTATATTTTATTTTACTCATTATTGCACACACAACCTATTGAACTTTTAGCATTTCACATTAAGTATAAATTGGATTGTTGTGAGTGATACATTGAGTGTGAGATTAATTTCGTTCTCATTCTTATTAGAGAACAAATCCTTTGTATTTGAGCTTTATTATTGAGAGAATACATTGTAATACACAATGACACTTAGAGGAGTGGTTGGTGAGAGACGGGGTCAATTCCAAGAGGAGTGGCATCGATTGTAAATCCTAAGGAGAGGTAGTAATTCCGAATACTTGAGGAAGGTGATACGGGCTAGGCTAACACTTAGAAGAGTGTGTTGTGTATTGATAATTATGTGAGTTATAAACATTATCGGTGAGCGTTAAAAACTAAAATTGTATAGTTGATTTGTGATATAGTGGAGATTCTCCTCAAGGGTGAGCAGCGGAGATGTAGGTTAAGGGTGACCGAACTCCGTGATTATTTGCTTGTGTTTGAGTTTGGTATTAGTGTATTTTTATTGTCTCGTTGTTTATATCGCCTATTGCTTCATATTTGTTTAATCTTGCATATATCTCCTTGTATATCACTTTTGCTAGAATATATTGTTAAATAGTTTTAATTTGGTATCGATATCTGATTAGATTAGCAAATACCCTATTCACCCCCTATATGGTACTTTCATTTGGTATCAGAGCTTGGTGTTCTTTGATTTGTGGCTTAATCACCTAGAGTCAAAGATCCTTGATTTGCTTTATAGCTAATCTAATTTTGAGATTATCTTCATCTTGTCTGCATTTATATTATGCATATGCATGGTACACCTAGCTTAGGTTATGCCATTAATATTCCTCTAAGACTCGATAATTTTCCTTATGCACAATGGTGCGTTAGATTTAAACTATTTGTTAGATCTAAATATTTTGATTTATGAGAAATAATTGACGATGCTTATATTGTACCCACTTTGGAGAAATCTAAGTAGAGTAATTATGATAAAAAATATTTATCATCAACAAGCTATTGTTAAAACTTTTGCTAAATGCATTTGATTCATCTATATCTAACAAGCTTGCTCATTTTGATAGTGCTTACAAATTATGGAAACTCATAGAAGCACATCAAGAAAACTTGAAGGAGATCCGACATGTTTTAACGGATTCTACTTCAAGTGAAATTGGAGTCTCATCATGCAAACGACCACTAGACGATAGCCCTAGTGAGATATGAGAGTCCGAATCTGAATGTGATTTAACTATTGATAAACTCGCTTGTGCATACGATAGATTAATGCATGCCTATAAAAAGTTGCATCATAATTTTACTGATTTGAAAAGCAAGCATGTAATTTTGAAATCCGATCATGATATGCTAGCATCAAAATTTGACGATACTTCTAAAGAGAATGTGATTCTTAAGAACAATAATGATAAATTAAAACAAGATCATGCTTCTTTTAACTTAATGATAGCTAGCTTATCAAAAAGAGAAAAATAATGCTATATTAGAAGTAGAAAACATTAGAAATGAATTTAATTCTTTTAAAAATAATCATGTATGTTCTACTTCTAATGACAATGCATTTGTGCAAAATAATGAGTTGAATCATGTTAAAATTCGTATATCATCCTTAGATTCAACACTAAAAATAGGCCTTGTAAACAATAATAAGCTTATGGACTTGTGTGTAAAGTCTCATATAAATTATTCCAAAACACCCACACACTATGCATATATGTATAACAAAGTTTATAAGTGCTCTATTTACAGCCGGAAAGGTCATCTTGCTAAATTTTGTTATAATGCATAAAAATCCATCAAGTCCAATTATGTTGCTACTTGTGCATCCCATCAAGCTTCATCACAATATACACATACACATGTACACAAAGCTAATCATAAGCATACAAATGTGTATAAATGTGATTTTTGTGGCCGTTTTGGTTATTTGATCAAATTTTGTTTTGATTTGAAAAGAGTTTCACATTTGCAAAATAATTTTAAAAGATCATCTTTATTTGCAAATGTTTTCCGTGCATAATCTAATGGTTAACAAAAAAAATGCACTCATTTCATTGCACGTATTGCAATCGGAAGGGTCATTTGCACAATTATTGTTATGACCATGTACGTGGATCAAATGCGTCCAAATAGGATTATAACCCAAGGGCATTAAGCTTAAATGATATGGGTCATGTCTAGAAATCTTTTAGCACCAAAATTGTTTGGGTGCCAAAACAAGTTTAGTTTTGTTTACCTTGATTTTGATTTGTGTGATTTTGTTATTTTTTGTTGATTTGTTGAATCTTGGTTTCATGTTTTAAGAAAATAGAATGAATTCTTTTGAAAAATTAAATTACATATATTAGTGTTAATGTTTAAAAGAATATATTTTTAGATATAAGTATGCATGAATTTTTTAAGATTTTTAAATTTTTTTAGTTCATTTATTTAGTAATCTGAGTTTTAAGTCATCAGTCAACTGATCAGTCGACCGATGACTGCTCTCAGTCGACTGACGAGCTCACTGATTTAGGATTTTTATTTTATTTTGTCTTCAAACCCGACCCGCTTGTATACCTGTTTCATCCTAGTCGTTAGCTGGTTAAATGAGAGAATCTGAGCCGTCCATTTCACACACACACACACACACACACACACACACACACACATCCAACTCAATTCTTTTCCTCATCTCTAATACCCTCAGCCGACCAAACTCTCACCCACTGTTTTAAATATCGGCCGATAATCGATATTATCGGCCGAGTTATCGGATTTGGTAGCTCTCCGCTAGGATAAATTCGATTTTTAATCAGTTATCGTTTTTCTAGGTTTATCAGCGATTTATCAGCGTTATCGGCACTTATCGGCCGATAAGTAGGACTTTTTTATCGGGATTATCGGGATTATCGGCCCATTTTGACTAACATTATATTTTTTCAAGGCTATGATGCAAGTTTCGCTTTCTACAATTGGTTAATGATTCTAAACATGATGATTTACATTTTGGT